GTATATGCCAAGGAGTTCATTATATTGTTAAGTAACAGACCTTGAATCGTCCATCTTATAATTGTTAAAATCACTAACCAAAAACTTCTTACTAGAAGCATCCTCAGTGATATATTTCAACTCAAGGGTGTCCCACAACTCCTTGGAACACAAGGCTTCACTAAGGGTATCAAATAAAGCATCAGACATACCGTTCAGAATGTGACCTTTGAAGATGTAGTCATCATTGTCCCACTTCTGTCTCCTTCTTATCTCTTCAATTGTCTTGACAACACCTGCTTCAGGCTCCGCTGGTCTAAGAGTAGTCAGCACGTATGCTGCCTTCAGAGTAGTCAGCATGAAGTGCATCTTCTTCTTCCATCGCCTGAAATCAACAACTTCGAACTTCTCCAGCTTTGCAAACTTAGTGGTCATCTCGTGGATTAAATCACCCATCTCCAGGAACATATAATATCAGTTTGAATGTAAGAAAATTAATAGGGTTTATGGTGGAGATCTGGATACCAACTTGGATCGTGAGAGCACTTTCCGAACTGATATTTCTACCCTATGCCTCGGTTATAAGAAATTCAGCCTAGGATAATCCAAGTGGACACTTATGATTCTAGGCACAAAAATTGTAAGCCAATTTGCTTGAGAGATTTAGTGAGGGTTTTATGAAAATGAGAGCTAAAATTCGTAACCCTCTTCTGAGACAGAAGAGCCGTTTATATATTAAACGAGATTAGGCTTTTATTAGGGTTGGCCCGTCATTAGTTGCTTTGGAAGCAAGTCAGGATAATCCGGATTTAATGAGGATTTAGGGTTACCAAAACTAATGAGTTTCGTTAGTTTTACTGTCATCACCCTCAAGAAGCTAACAAGTTTCGTTAGTTTGATGAAGCAGCAGGACCCCAGCCAGGGGCTCTGACCCTTGTACCCCGCTGGGGGTGCTGCCCCTTTGGAAACCCCGGACCTAGGGGTGCTGCCCCCAGACCCCCTACTCGTCGTCGAACCGACTTTTAATTCGATCTTATACATGTGTGCACTCCGCACCAACCTATACATATATTAGAGTATAAATTAAGAAGCCCCTTAGCTCACATGTTAGTTGCAGTTACAGAAAATGACATGGTGACACTAAAATCACCAACATTATCTAGTTATTATTCTAGATAACTAAACTAAATTAGTCCTAAAAATAAATAAAGATTAGTGGGGTATAATTGTCTGTTGCTGTTGTAAAACTTATAAAAAGATCCATTTATATTGTTAGTGCCTCCAATAATGTAAACGTCCTTCGTTCAAGCATTCCTGGAAAAAACGATACCAAGGTTATAAATATAGGTAATTTACTCGTATCTATTTATCCAGAATAACAACATACTTTGGTATTCTTTTTACAGATAACAACAATGTTTAAGTTGAAACTTGTAAAATGCTATACAGTATTACATGCTTTTATATGTATGATTAATTTCTAAGAATAATTTGGCCATACTTTTCACTGGCAACATTCTGGCTTGTAATTTCTATATTAGTGTACTGATCTCCATTTGATGTCACCGCTACAAAGTAGTGAGGACTAGTCGGTATAAATATGAACCAACTTTATGAGATGAATCCAACTGAATATTGATTAATTTTAATCTCGCATCAGTTTATATGAATGATATAAATGGAGGTTCAAATGGGGCTAACTGGAAACAATCTATAGTCGACACCGGTAACCAAAATAGTTTGTTAATGAAATTACCTGAAATTGTACTTCCTGTTCAACTTATAGCAAGATTTGCATAATTAGAAAGCGTAGAACCTGGTATTAATATTTAAATAAATTCATTTTAGATAATTGGAACTATGATTAGATAATTGATGTATTCAACACACAAGATAGAGAAAAAAAGTGGACATTAAGAATTACTTCAAACTGAAACACAAAATCATAATATCTACAAGAAAAAACACAGATTGAATTTAGGAAAATGTACACAACCATCTTCAAATCAACATTCAACTCAAGAAGATGTCATAATCCTATTACTTCCATCGGAAACAACACACATCATTGCTCAATCAAACTATCCAGGTGAAACTCTAGGGTACGACTGCACCAAGCTCATCTTTTGGATTTTCACTATAAATATATAAAACAATGAAATGTAATGTTTCCAAGGGCATAACTCTATATACCTCTTTGATTTCTTCGTTAAGCAACTGTTTTACTGTTTTACAGAGTTCTGGTCAATGGATCTGATTATGCATCAATATTTGTATCTACAGCTACCATTAAGGTATTTATAAAGACTATAATTAGTCAAAACAAAGAAATTATAGCAGCAGCAATTAGTATAATAATCTTGGGACCAAATCAGTAATATAGGTAATTTGCTATAACATGTCACATTATGGAGAAAAAAAATCTGAATTGGAAGTATTTATCCAATTTTAAAATTTTGTTTCCAACCTTATACTAAAGGTGAGATGCGGTAGATAATTTCAATAGAGTAAAAAACACATAAAAAGATGTAATAGCTTATTAGTTACCAAGAAGTGGATTCTTGTTATTATTCTTTCACATCTCATAAGTATTGAGAATGCCCTTCCATTCTATCCATCACTTCTAAAAAGGTGATCACGCCTTTGCCTTCCCGCAATCCTCTGTGGTACCTGAAACATAATCCACAATTGTAAACCCAAAGCTTAGTGAGATCCCCCAAAATACCAATACCACACAAAACCAAAACAATATCACAAATAACATGCAATCAAAGCCTTTTGTCTGACTGAACACTCCACCGACCTAGAGTCTATCTGGTACGTTCACAGAACCTACAGCATGACAGGTACACCACCTCGGGCCTTTAGCCTATTTGGAACGTTCTCTGGACCTTCGGCCTAACTCGTACGCCCCACTGAGCCTTTAGTCAATCTGGGACGTCCTGGGTTTGTTGGCCTTCAACATAAAGCAGGACCGCCTCAAACCAACCGCCATCATATATCATACCAAACACTAGCTAGCATGTACAGACAGTCATACAGATCTAATGGATCACTAATCATAGCATCATCCTATATATGGGGAAACAGATCTAACAGATCACTACACACATCATCATACAATAAACCAGGATACAATCCAAAGGGCTGACCATGGTGCCTTCGACCCTGTTAGTATAATGAGGTGAACTCACCTCACAAGTAGCGTTGATTGATAAGATCCAACTCCCGAATCTCAGATCTGAAATCAAATGCCTCCAACCACCATTTGACCAATCCCAAAATACCCAAAATTCCCTCAAGAGTCAAACTTGGTCAACCATGGTCAAAGTCAAAGTCAACAGTCCATGTTGACCCAACTCATCGACTTCACCTACCAACTCATTGAGTTCCTACAGTATTCAGAGAATCAGGAAAACCGAAGCCAACTCGCCGAGTTGTCAGGACAACTCGTCGAGTCCGCACAGTGCCTAGAAGATCGGGGAAAACCCGAGCCAACCTTTTGAGTTGTCACGACAACTTGTCGGGTTTTCCTAGTCTTAACACATTCAACCCCTTTTTATCGAATCTAATGCTTAATAAATGTATATCTAACACCCAAGGGTTGGAAACCCACGTAAAGTTGCTCACCTTACATACATGTATGTCACCAAGGGCTCCAAAATTCAAAAAAGGCTATATAAGGGACCTAAAACATGAAGGAGGCCTAGATCTGAAGTGATAGCTTCATGAAAGGCTCAACACATGAACAAAACCAAAAATGAGCCAAATATGACAATAGACTTCCAAGGAGGAGAGCTAAGCAATAGATATGCAGGTTTTTGACTTTTTACCTCAAAAGAGTAGCAAAACTCAAGGAGAGTCTGGATCTATAGCTTTCCCTTCAAGCTAGGAACCACCAACTTCAAGCTCTTTCAAAAAGGAAACCAAAAGAGGCAACTCTTAAGCTCACACTATGAACTTGGGGTAAGATGCAGAAATTTTAGGGTTTATGGATACAGAAGGCGATTAGGGAGGCCATCCATGGGACTTAAGGCCTTTAAATAGGGTGCAACACCCTAAAAATCAGGGTTTCATATTCAGCCACCAACTCGTCGAGTTTTCCTTGCCAACTCGTCGAGTTGGTCCATAACGATCCTCGGTCCAAAAAGATCCTCGGCCCAAAAACTTTCAACACGTCAAGTTGAGGCCATCAACTCGACGAGTTCCAAGGAAAATTGCGTTTTTTATAAAATTTCTCATTCCTGGGAATCGGGATGTTAAAAAAGGTAGTGATTTTTTATAAAATCACTTAGACTTGAGCCTTACATAAATTTAAGTGGTAATAAAAATGTAACATATGGGAAGAGCAAGGACCTCTTGAATTGGCTCCCCAATTACATCTATTACAATGTGGGTTTTGCTTTCCTTCTCCATGATGTTGTTAAAAAGATACACATGTAAGCATCAGAATGCTGACCAGGAGCAACACATCCCAATAAAAATAGCATATATGACATAAATACAAACTTGATAAATGGTATCAAATACGTGAGCTTCAAACAAAAGCAATACATGGTGAACTGAATAGATGATACCCAAAAGGGAAGTGATATTGCCATGGCAACTTTTTATACCTCCACTGGAAAATAATACAGATTGACAATTACACCCTTCTTTACTTTAGAGAGGGAAATATCAATGTTTCCTTAAAAAAAACACAAGATCTTCAAGTGGATATCAGAATTGGGATTTAACCTACAAAATTCTCACTAGAAAACAATAAAACGAGTATTTTACATAATAGAGCTAACATAACTGAGACGTTAATTCTCGCCCAGGCGTTGAGGTCCAACTGGACCTCGCAGGAGTACAAACATATCCTGGAAACGGACTAAGTAGGGTGATCGAATGGGTAACTCACTAATTAGGTTCTTGTCTTCATCATAATAGATTACTCTGGAGAAATACAGGGCAGTTATTTATCCCCTATCAGTATTTCCTTCTGTCGGCCTGTCACCTCTGTGATCAACTCCTTCTTATCATGTTCTTTTCATCTGGTGGCGTAACTTGATGGATTTGTGTCTTATGTAGGAAATTACTTTCTTCGGCACCCCCAGATAGATCTTTGTATTGTTGTTCAACTTTTTCGAAGCTATAATCGTTTTCTTAGCATAGAGAAGCATCATAGATGTTTTTGATTGCAAAACTTCGTAGAACATACGTTTAGCCTTGACATCGTTGGAGCTTGCGTCGTCGTTATCGTGTTTGCTCGCCATGTCGGAGGAAGGGCTGTGATTTGATTCCAATACGAGGAGGATGAGGGCATACATATACGGAGGTGATATTTCCATTGAAACAAAACTAGCAAAGAAGACTACATGTTGGTAATGGTTGAACCTTAATATGGGAAATACAAAATCAATCAAATCCAATCCTTTTGTCGCCATGGCTGCGACGAAAGGTAGTTCAGTGATGTATATTTATAACGAGGTCTCCTTTGTTTTGAGTGATATAAAGTGGTCTTCCATATATGGGATGTGTATTTCAAAACAGAAGCTACAAAGGTTCATTAGTTTTTAATTCTTAATTTGTATGATCACCCTCTGAAACTCCAAGCGATTCCTCCGTGGGATGTGAGATTATAGTGGAATACAAAGATCTTTTGAAACTCAATTTATATTTTTTTTTCAGTGGAACTATCAAAAATTGTCGTAGCAATATCACCTCCCTACCCAAAAGGAAGCCACCCATAAAGTACAACTACTGCCACAATCATATATTACTATTGCAACATTGTAATTTGAGATTTCTACCAAAATATACCTTAAAAAGTCTACCTTATAACACAACAAACCAGAACCACTTTTAGTCTTCATTTACCTTCCAATAATAGTCTTACCACAACTGACTTTTGAAAGCTTGTTGAACAAATTTAAAAACAAACTACTTTATGCTATTACAAAGTAGAGGTTGAGTGAGATTAAACATTTCTAAATGGAAAATTAATTATAGCAAATATGAAAAATACCTTTTCTGTTTGTTGGTTGCAACAATCGTGAGGGTCTGAGTGAGTATGATGGGTAAGATTCATAGAAATCATATGAATATTAGCATCAATTTAAGTTATAATCTCACTTGAATTCTGAAATGTAGCAAGCAATCAATATGTCAATGTAATTCTAAGAAAAGATGGATCAAACACCTTTACTTCATGACCCTATATAAGAAAAAGACCTTGTAGTGATGAGTTGTATCCATAGTGTTTACAAAATTAAAAACAGATGAATGAAAAGCCACTAATGATGTAAATGTAGTTGCCTAAAGTCGAATTTCAACTTTCTCTTCCTCTTCCTCGTCTTATCCCTCTTTTCTCCGTGTTTCCTTTAAATTTAGGCTGATGGAGGAAACACGTTTAGAAAACCAATATAAACCAAAAGAAAACGTATTGTAAAAAAAACAAAACGTACTGTAAAGAAGTTATAAGGTTAGGGTTTACCAGAGAAAACCAATTTTATAAGGTAGGGGTTTACCTAAGAAAACTAATTGAAGCAGTCGGTGGTAATAGTAGACAACAAATAGAGAACTGACAACCGGAAATTGAAGGCAAAGAAAGAAAATAAATCCATCATGATGTGGGAAAATGAAGTAGATGGCGGAATCAAAGGCAGAGAAAGCAATAAACCAAAATTTAAGAATATCAGCGGGGAAGGAGTCATCAGTGAATGGTTGTTTCATTCCATGCAGTTGTCAAAGGGAGTAAGAGGGACGATTTAGGGTTCGATGGATAGTGTTGTTGTTGATGGTTCCGAAAATGGTTGGCACGGAGGTGTGTATAAGAGTTTTTGTGGACACAAAGTAGAGAGTTATGGTGATGGTAGAAGAGTTCGTCGGTAGCTCTTACTAAGGAGCTAGGTGGAAGCGATGATTGATATGAGTTGGCTGGTCCAATAATCGGTGGAATATGGATAGGTTTGAAAGATGAAATAAGCTGGTGGAAGATGGATAGGTTTGAGAGATGAAATTGAAAGCAGTAGTAATGAGGCGGTAGATAAAGGTTCTAGAAGTCGGAGGAATGATCGGTGGGAAAAGAGAGTCAAAGAGAAAAGAGAGCCGAAGAAGGATTGGGAAGGATGGAGAAGTAAAAAAGAAGCGGTGGACCGACTAAAAAAAGAGATTTTGGTCAGATAGGAACAAAGTATTGTTCCTAAAGGTACGTCACAATATATATATATATATATATATATATATATATATATATATATATATATATATATAGAGAGAGAGAGAGAGAGGTAGGTTCCGTTGAGATTAAAAATAAAATAGAGATCTCGAGAGTCAACCTCAGCCATGTATTTCACTTCTTCCGCTCTAACCCTTCGGCGTACCGGCGCTGCAGGTCTGGTGTAATCATAAATGATTACATAGTGCCACCCGTTCCTTTCTCCTCCGCCACGATCCCCACCACCGTAACCGCCACCGCCACTACCACCACCTTTGACACCAGTCGACCCCACCATTATCACCTCCATTACTTATACCACCGCCACCTTTGTCACCACCACCTCTTTTGCGACTAACTATAATAATCATTTATGATTACTCAATCTGTGAACAGACATATATGTATAATCATTTATGATTATGCATATACGTATAAACATATATAATCCTGTATGATTATACCTCTCTGCCATATAATCATTTATGATTAGGCATACATCGTTGCTGCTGGTACGCTGGAGCATTATAGCGGCAAATGCGAAATATGTGGTTGAGGTTTAATCTCAAGATCTCTACTTTTTTTAATTTTCAAGTGAATCGTCCCCTATATATATATATATATATATATATATATATATATATATATATATATATATATATATATATATATATATATATATATATATATATATACAGAGAGATAGAGAGAAAGAGTTAGGTTCAAATGTTTTCACTATCTATTGTGTGCCCGTATGATTGATTTTGGATCAATCATTTTAGTTATTTTAAGAAAGTAATTAATGCATATTAAATGCTGAAGATGTAATTAATACCTATTATATCTTCAACATGTAATATGCATTAATTACTTTCTTAAAATAACTAAAATGATTGGTCCATAGTCAATCATATGGGCACACAATAGATAGTGAAAACAAAATAACCTAACCCTCTATATATATATATATATATATATATATATATATATATATATATATATATATATATATATATATATATATATATATATATATATATATATACCAACAAGTAGTTATAATTCAATCTACCCGCAAATGCCAATATTTGTGCAACGATTTCCGATTATTGCAAATGCCGACACAATTTGTGTCGGAAACACAAAACATGAACCTATTGTATCGTCAACCCCAAGATGCCAATGAAAGTTAGTGAAGAAATCAACCTATCATACAAGATTAAGAAGAATTAAACGAGTCATCGGATACACCCCAATGACTTATTTATACTAAGAAGAAATCAACATAGTGGAGCGCTAACAAACAAGTCATATTTGGCCAAGTTTTGGAATATTTAAAAAAAACATTTCAAACTATTTAAAAAAAATTTAAAAAAACAAATTGGTAGATACCGATCTTACTATCTATCAAACTATTTCAAAGTTGAACAATAGGCAATTTAAAATCATCAAGTCTATTTGAAAAGGTGGTGAAGCAATTTATCATAAATCAGAGCAATGTCGATAAGAATCCGTGATGCAATAGACAACAACCAGTGGAAAGAAAATGAATAGAAACACGATGAGTTTTTAAGGTAATGGGGCAGATACAAGTGTTCCTAAGGTAGAGAAACTCTTATCCAAGAATAGCACCAGTGTCCCCAAGATAAAGCAGTGGGGCTAGGCGTATAGTTAACGACGTACTGCTCACCAATGTCTCATGCAAGATTTCAAGGATATTATTTTCGTCGGCGGTTATGTATTTAGAAACATTTGTTTCATTGTATAGTAAGCAACGTCACGAAAACGTGTTCATATTTCCAACAACGTACAGATGCTACAGGTATAATTGGTTTTACTCACTTACAAAAATGCACCACCTCATCACTTCGTCAAGTAGCATATGCCACTTCCCCCAATCCACGATATTTGCATAAACCTACTTGTAGCAACATGCAATAATTATATTCTCAATATTCGAATGTGCACAACTTCCCTCGAATTTTAGGAAGCCAAGATTGCCTCCACTGGAAATGGGGCAAATTCCCGAAGGCAAATCGAGACCAATACACCCGAGGTGATCATGGTTATTTAATTATCATACTTGAAGCGATGGCCTAACAAGATTTGTGGATATGACATGAATTCTTTGTTTATGTTGGTTCCTAAATGACATAAATGTTCTTAACATGTCACTGTTATTCGACGACATGTATAAACGGACTGCACCAAATTCTTCATTCAATATGCGTGGAATGTCATATAGGTATGAGTATTATCTTGTGAACGAGATCTATCTGGAGCACCCTAGTTTTGTTAAGTCATTTTCTTGTCCTAATGATCTTAAAAATGTTGAAGTTTAAGAGAGCTCAAGAGAAGGCGAGGAAGGGTATTGAATGAGTGTTTGGACGGTTGGCCACATCGATCATAATGCGGAGTCAATCGATAATTTAGACGGCTATTTTTCAAGGACGATGTCATTTAGGTATATCTATATTTCATATTTTAATTTCTAAGTTTTGCAATTTTAATTTCTATGTTGCATTTTTTAGGTGTGTCGTATTTTCCTTTCTAGTTTAACGAAATTTTAGTTTTAATAGAAATAATTTGTTTAAATTGTCTATTTTTTATATATTAATTATTTTAAGAAAAAAAAAATAACTTAGCATGGAAATGCACGCCCTCTAAATAATATTTTTTGATACAATGTGTAAATCATACGAGGCACATACGTGGACTGTGGCAGGTATGATGTTGATGAGTTTTGAGGACTACAACATTCATATGGTGCACATGCAACCCTAATGTTTTGCATCTAGGTTTTTCTCAAGTTATACATACAAATCATTATCCAAAGCATAAATTGTAACGACGCGTTAGTTCAAATCAATGTAATAGTATAGATCAACTTGTAATTCATTTTTAATGTAATAAAGAGAAATTGTTTGAAAATTTTGTGCATTTAATTATTTTTAAATATAAAATTAAAATAATGTCAAATAGTCGACGTAGTGTAAATGAAAGTTGTAGAGTATAATCTCACCTACGCGTGGATATAAAGAACGTCGAAAACGGAGCTCGTATGCAAAAGTTATGAATATTTAAAGTTTTGGACACAAAAACCGAGAATTTTTGCATATACTAGGTCCGGGTTCGACCACCTCGTCCTACACCTCGCGAGCATGACGCGTGTCCGACCAATGACTCATCTGTAGCGAAGGTTCAACCGGAGTCTGACGTGTGTCGCAT